ATGCATCCATGCTCCATGTTGGCTGAAGTTTCATTCTTTCCAAAAATGTCGTCAATGAAAAATGAAAAAATAATAATAAATTATTATTGTGCAAAAATGATGGAAATGAAAACAAAAAACTGAATGAATGAATGAATGAAGAGGAAGAAAAAAGTATCTTGAAAAATGTTCAAATATGTGTGTGTGTGTTTTTTTGGTAATTATTCAAGAGTAAATCACAAATTGCATACCATCATTAGATTCTGTCCATTTTCCTTCCCCTCATTCACACACTACAAGAATTCAAGCAGAATAAAAAGAAAGAATATTCTCTATTATGATATTTTGATTGAGTTTTTTTTTCGGATGAAAATTATTATTATTTTCAGTTTTGTTTCAAGCTCGAATAAATATAACTATATGAAATTTTTTTAGAAAAAAAAAATATGAAAGCTAAAGGGGAAAAAGAATTAGAATAAAAAAACTAAATAGAAATGGTGATGATAATAATAATACAAAATGACAGAATTGGTCATCAAAAAATGAAATGATAATTCTCTTCATCGCTGTATTTCTTTGCGTTATGCAATATATGCGAACATGTGATGTATGTGTGTTTTCGTTTTCGTCGTTTCATTTTTTTTTTTTTTGAATATTCCTGGTTTTGAAAAAAAATTGTCAGTTTTAGTCAGTTGATGTTTTGGCTGAACAAACATTGTAATTGCATCAATGAAAATTGAATGATTGAATGAATAAAATGACTGACATCAATAATCGACAATAATAACTGTTATTATTATCAATGCATACAGCAGCAGTGAAAAAGAAGCTTAGAAGCCGAAATATCATATCCATCTATTGCATGCCGAAGAAGAAGAAGGAGAAGAAAAAGTTTGATGGAAAAGCAAAAAATTCCCTTATTTGATGATGACAAAGAAGGAAAAAACTGAATTTTTTCACTGAAAGCAAAAGATATTTGTTCCGTTGTTGTTCCGTTGCTGTTGAACATTATGATTTATTGAAATTTTTTCTCCCTCCTCCTACCCTGCCCATCCCCTTTATTCGTATCAAATGATTGAGTGGATTAATATGAAAAAAAATTTGAATTTTTTTTTATGTTGATAGAATATTTGAGCAAAGAAAAAAAAATGGCGTCCATCATCATCCAAACTACCGCATATCGATATATTCTTTGATCCTAGACAAAATGATGATTTTGGATGAAGACTAATGATTTTTGTGAAATGAAAAAAACGAAATCACGAATTTGTCGAAATTTGATTCATTAATTATCTGAATCTATTTTCGTTGTCGTTGTTGTTGTTGAATGTGACAAACAAACAAACAAACAAACGAATTCCATTGAAAACAAAAAAAGTTTCCAAATTACCTTCTTCTTCTTCAAATATAGATTTTATTTCCAGGGAAATTTTCTTTCATTTCATTCTATTCATTTATTTTTACCATCAGAAAAATGAAAAGTTTTCATCATTAATCACCAAAACAACATTCTTTGATTATCCTTGAATATTCTTGTGACGTTGAACAATCCCCAAAAAAAAACCCAAAATTATCATCATTCTGTGGGGTGGAAGTAATATGCATATAGGAATAATCAGTGAAAGCAAAAAAAAAAATATATGTCCGGTTAAGTCATTTTAAATTATAATTTTCATTTTCAAAACAAAACAAGAAGAAAAACAAAAAATTTAATAATTTGCAATTCAAATTTTCAACCAAACAAAAAAAAAAGCTGTTTGCAAAAAATGTGAAAAGCCTTTTTTTTGTTGTTGTTGTTGGCTGTTGTGGTGTGAAACAGAAGATAATAAATAAGTTTGATGGCAAAAAAATACATTATCATCATCATTGGAATTAAAAAAAGAAGAATTTCAATGTTTAGTTTCAATTTCATTCATTCATTTGCATTTTTTTTTCACTGTGTGACAGCATCAAGACAAAATCTGGATCATCGTCACAATGATATGTTTTTTGCCTTTTTTTTTTGATGATCCAGATTTTTTGACATTTTTTGCATCATTTTTTGCATCACTTATAAATGACGATGCTGATGATTTAAAATTATTGCTAAACATTTTTGTTTTCAAAAATTCTTTATATTTTCTGGCTTGTTCCATATGGAAATAATGTTAAGCATGCAATGTTGAGCAATGACTATAATCTGCTATTCTCTGCTATTCTCTGTATTCTGTTTAGTTCAGAATTTTCTCTCTTTTTCAAATAAATTCTGAGTTTGTCCCATGAGAATTTTGAATATGTGTGTGATACTGAGAGTGAAAACAAAAAAGAAAGAATGTAGAAAACGAAAAAACGATTATCATTATTATTAATTAGAACGATTTTTTTTGGTATTCAAGAATTTTCTTTTTCTTTTTCCACTTTTGTTTAACACTAAATGACTATGAATACAAAAAAAAAGAATCAAAAAAAAAAATCTTATCATTTTTTAAAACATTTTTTGACATCTAATATGGTAATGTTGTTGTTGCTGGTAATATTGTTTTCATGATGATCATCCATTATAGAATGGGTGAATATGAGGTGATGGTGGTGGTGGGGGAGAGGGGGAGGAAATCCAAATGAACTAAACACATGGTCATCATCCTGATCTTGTAAAATATTATCTTTAAACACATTTTGTTCGTTCTCTGCTGCTACTGTTTTTTTTCAGTGTTTTTATTGTTGATAACATTGACCTTGTTGATTTTGGTTTTTTTCGGAATTTTCGCTTCTTTTGATAACCGAACGAAACGAATTAAAAGTCAAGTTTTTTTTCCCAGCTAAAAAAAAAACTGAAATAAAATGGTTCAAGATAACAGGCGAGAACCGAGAAAAATCACTCTGATTAATTAATGCTATGTGAATTTATTTATTCCTTTACTTTTCTTTTTGCTTGTTTAGTTATAATCATCACACACACACACACACACAAAGAATAAATAATTTGCCCGCATCTGATGATGCAACAAACGATAATGAAAATGAACATACACTATATATGGATGAATTATAAGACAAAAAGAAAAATAGTCAAACATTCAACCGATATAAAGTTAATGATCTGCAAAGCAATTTTATAACCAGCCAATGTTGTTTGCTGTTGAATTCTGGTCTACAAACAAACAGAAAAATATCATACATCAGAATAAAGAGAATAATGTTTTAGCCATTTTCGTATGCATCCATCTAATGTTTAGGTCAATCGCAGCATAAAGAAAATAAATCGTCTGTGTGTTTGTGTTTGTGTGTTTGTGAATAGGTCTGAGCGAAAAGAAGAAAAAAAAGAAGAAAATAACATACATCATTCGAGTGGCCAATAGAGAGTGAGAGAGAGAGAGAGAGAGAGAGAGAGAGAGAGAGAGAGAGAGA